GGAACGATGCAAGGTATTTTCATATCTGCTAGTTCTTTTGTTCTCAAGACTTCTTTTTTTGTTGGAGATGGAGTCTTGCTCTGTCTTGCCCAGGCTGGAGTGCAGTGGTGCCATCTCAGCTTACTGTGGCCTCCACGTCCTGGGTTCAAACAATTCTCCTGTCTCAGCCTCCTGAGTAGCTGGGACTACAGGCACGAGCCACTGCACCTGGCTAATTTTGTATTTTTAGTAGAGACAGGGTTTCACCATGTTGGCAGGCAGGTCTTGAACTCCTGACCTCAGGTGATCCACCCATTTTGGCTTCCCAAAGTGCTGGGATTACAGGCGTGAGCCACCACACCTGGCCTGTTCTAAAGACTTCTATAAGCAAAATATCTTGATTTTTCAGGCGAGGAAATTGACAACCAGAAAAATTAATTTGTTCAAGGTCTCCTAAGTAGCAAGTGTCTCGATTCAAACCCAAATGTCCTGATTTGAAGTTCAGTGCTCAGTAGAAACTGAATTTTCTCCTTTGGAAAACGGCTTATTAGACACACCATGAAGACATCACAGAGACCTGAACTCTAAGAAAAGAGGGAGGTGGGATAGGGAGAAAGTATCAGAAAGGATTAAAAAAAATGGGTAAGTTAGGGGATTGGGTGGATTGTAGACACCAAAAAAGCAGAAAAGAAGTTAAAGGTTTATATGTCGAATAAATATAATCAACTATTCCAGCTACCTTCTTGATGGCAAGGTCAGGCATAACCATGTGTGATGCCATCTCAGATGCCATATAGGAGCCACAGGTAAGATCTCTACTAGTTGAGGCAGCAATCTTCCAAGATATTCTGAAGCTGTAACTTCAGTCCTTGCTGAAGCAGCAAAGCTCCCGTTAAAGAAGAAAAAAGCCCCAGACTCTTTTCTCCGTTTGATGATAACACAACTCACAAGCCTCAGCTTTAAAACTTGTCACTCTGTTCTTACACGGTTAACGGCAACACGTTACTTGTTAGGCAAAAAAAATTGAATATTGCTCTTTTCAAACTGAGGACTGGTATTTGAGTCACCTAATGAGTATGCAGGCTGTTTATTCCTTAGGTCTGCCACATGCTCTTCTTGTTTCAAGTAAGTGTATCAGAAAGTACACCTTAACTACATCTTAATGTTCTACAAACATGTCTTTGACGAAATAAGTTTTATTATTATTATAAAAGGTCAAACGAAGTATCCATTTGAACAATGCTTCTAAGAAAATCTAAATAAATATAAAGAGATACCATGTTTATGGATAGGGCGGCTTCATATCTTAAAACCTCCAATCTTCTTCAAACTTATTAATAAATCCATTGATTCTCCAAAACTAAAAAAACAAACCCCAGGAAAAATGCCAGATGATCATTCTTTAAATAGACTGAATCAAATGACTACAAAAAGCTAGAATTTAACACATTGATGTTTTAAACAAAAGGTAACTCCAAAAACAAAAGAGGTCAGAAAGCAAGAAAAACTTTAGATTAAAAATGTGATGGCTGGGCTTGGTGGCTCACACCTGTAATCTCAGTACTTTGGGAGGGCGAGGCAGGTAGATCTCAAGGTCAGGAGTTCAAGACCAGCCTGGACAATATGGTGAAATCCTGTCTCTATTAAAAACACAAAAATTAGCTGGGTGTGGTGGCACGGGCCTGTAGTCCCAGCTGCTCGAGAGGCTGGGGCAGGAGAATTGCTTGAAATCCAGGAGGCGGAGGTTGCAGTGAGCCGAGATCGCACCACCGCGCTACAGCCTGGGCCACAGAGTGAGATTCCGTTTTAAAAAAAAAAAGTGATCATTTCAAACAAAGTAAGATCAAAAACCGACATTTCTCAGAACACAGAGCAAAAAGACAAAATCTGATAGAAAAGTTCAGAGATTTAAAGAACCAATATAGTTTGAAAGCTTGAAAGTCTGACAACCTGGCATGCAAGAGGAAGGGAGCAGAGAAAAAGGAAGGAAAAAAAGTCATTGTTAAAGCAATATAAAATAGCATTTTCCAGAGTTGAAAAAAAAAAAAATAAGCCTTCAGAATACAAGCCTACTGTACCCGGCATAAAAAATGAACGGAGATCCACACTAAGACTCAAATATCACCATGAAATTTTAGAATACCGTAGGTGAAGAAAAACTCTTATGAGTTCCCAAAAAGGAATGAAAATCAGATTGGCACTGCACATCCATTTAGCCATACCATCTATCAGAAAACAACGCTGCAAGCCCTTCGAAGATCTAAGAGGAAATGATTTTTGATTCAGAATTATATAGTCCAACAAAGTATCAAGTGACAGAGCAATAAAATACATTTTCTATATTTACAGATGCATAAAATTTAATTCCTCTATATTCTGGCTTAAAAAGTTACCGGAGGGTATTTCCTAGGAAAATAAAGGGGCAAGTCAAGAATAAAAACAGCATGGAACCCAGGAAAAAGATCCAATGCAGAAGAGCAGTGAAAGAAAGCTTCAACATGACAGTTCTTTATCAGGCCTAGAAAACAACTGGGACAGACTGAAACCAAGGAATAAAGGTTTCAGGAGGCAGGTTCAGGATACAGAGGACTCGACAGAAGAGAATGTGTGAATGAGAATTAGTAACATTGAGGATTATTACAAAGGGCAAAAACAGACTGAGGGGGGGAAAAGACTGAAAAAGTCATGATTGAAATTTGAAGTGAACTGAACAGTGCAAACATAAAACATGGATGAAGTCTTAGGAAAGAGAAGTCATATGAGGTTGATGTTAAGACTAATCTTGAATTGACCAACAGGTCATGAACATTCAGATAAGTTACCTTACAGCACTACTTGCCCCTGCATTAAAGACGCTTAGTTTATTAAAACATAGTAATGTAAACGCTGTTTTTTGCCTCCACATTTTAGAGCCAACCTATGGACAATAACTGTTTACTGGTACAGGACTTAGTGAAAACATTAATACCCTTGACGATGGAAAAGTTAAAACAGTTAACAGATAATACGTACAGGTGACAAAAGTAGAAGGGTGGGTGGGTGTGTGCTAGTGCTAATACCACACATTACAAAGACTTAGAAGGCAGGTAGAAAGTTAACAAGCCGAACATCAAAACTTGAATCATTTTCTAGTAAAATACGGCAGCAAACCAAGAAAGAAGACACAGAATCCAGCAAAAAAGATCTAAGAGGAAATTCAATGGATCTAATGCAGAAGTGCAAAGATTGAAAGTTACAAAAGTAGTTTATAGACAAATAATAATTTTAAAATAGCAAACATTGTGAGAAAAAAGGGGGACAGAGTAGTGAAAGCAGCCTAATACTCTTGCTTAAGAGAAGTTCCAAGTTACGTAAAGTTGATAAACTAAAACATAATGAAGACTTTGTACTCTGGCAAGATAATGGCTAAGCTAATGTGAAAACACTTCTGTTACAACAGATATTAAATATAAACCCTTGCGAAATGATAGAAACAAAACAAAAACTGAGCTTATGTGTCTTTTGCAAAACACAGCTGAATAATGTATTTGTTATATTATGCAAGGTTCCTTATGTAATGACTTATGCAATAAATTATTCAAATTGTCACAGAAAAATAGGAATCCAAAACTTTTTCCCTTGTCTTGTCAGGATGCCCAGCAGAAGCCAAAGCAAAACCACACAAGTGGAAAACTCCTACAACCGGTCTCCAAAGGATTTCCAGAAGAAAAAATCCCACTGAAGATAAGCTCAAAAGAAAAAAGTGACCAAACATGAAGAAGCCATTACCCCTAAGCAAGAGCCAGAGGAAACAACAAATAGAAGGATCAGCTCCCCAAGTACAGGAGTTAATAGATAGAACAAAAATGCCATCCAAAAAACGTTTTTAAAAGTATGATTACAATAAAAAATTCAATGGATAGGTTAAATAGCAATTTCTGACAGAGGTGAAGGGATAATTAGGAGCTTTATGGAGGATCTCAGCAAATGAGCTGGAAGTAGGCAGAAGAGGGATGAGAGACGACTGCTTGTCATTATACAGTCTATTATTGGAACCGTTGTTTAGTGCATCTATCAACTAGAAACACTTTAAAGTTAGAATGCGTATGTGTTTTACGAAATTTAATTGAACACAGTAATCTATGTCATTTGTGCTCTGTATGTAAGGACGCGTGCAAAAAATTACCTCTTGCATTCATTTACAGGAAAATGGGAATCCAAAGCTTTTCCCCATTTGCCTTAGTGGTGGGAATTCAAGAATAATTAAAGTGCTCAACAATGTTAGCTCATTCATAAACATATTTTATTCTTCAAGTTAATTTCTATTTTGATTTAATTTTTACTTTGCGCATTTTACATGTTTATTTTTAAAGTCCACTGAAATTCTGAAAGACAGTGGCAGTGAATCTATAAAATTCTTATTACACAGGATGTCAAAAGTTATTGATCTGTTCCTTCCTAAAACGGGATTAATCTTACTTAGGTGTTTATGTTGATTTAAATCTTTTCAGAAGTGTGTACAGTCTCTAAAAGATCTTAAAGAGATATTCATACCTAGGGGTTAGAACCAATTTACCTTTCATAAAATCTCTAACTGCAGAGCTGCTCCAGTTGAGATGAGGTAGAGGCAGGGGAGGGAAACGCGAGCCCCTAGCCCCAGCGGGCTCTCAAGGGCTCCCTGACACGGTGGGAAAACTGCTGCTACAGTGAGTCTCAGTTATCCAGTTAATAAGAAGTCTGATTATTCTCACCAGGAGACTTGGGTCAAAACATTACCATAGAAAATTCATAGGAGGAAATATCAATTTTTAAATTTTTACCTTTATAAACCCACACTTCTCAGGGGAATTCAATGTTGATAAAGGAAATGAGAGAAAAGCTTAGCTAAAACTTAAGATATTGAAATTTCAGTCATAATAGTATTTTTGCTGCTGCTAAATAAGCATAGCCATTAAAAATTAATCTAGTAATAGTTTTAAAAATTACCCTAAATCTCAAAAGTAATTGGATAGAAATCAAGTTATTGAATTTAATTTTCTTACATTGTAGAGACAAGGCAAATGTTAACATCTTGTGTACTGTTGAACTCTTTTACAATCTTGAGTCTTTCCTCTGATTTTGTACTTCCATCAAGTCGTCGGTAATCAAGCCCAGACGCCATACAGTACTGCTGTAGCACATCAAGCAACTAAAGGAGAGGTATGAAGATGGGCAAACATGAATCTTGGTTAAGTAAGTTTCAGACCATTACAAAGTTGAGACTTGTTAAGTATTAATTATCGGTGTTCATAATTTCTTTCTTACAATTCCAAGAGCAATAAATATTTTTCTCACTTCTGACCCATATATTTATTCCCGTTATCCGGCAACATTATGGCTTTAACATTCAGAACTTATTTTAAAAATCAATCTTTTAATTTTTTTTTTTAATACTTTAAGTTCTAGGGTACTTGTGAATCTTTTCATGTTTAAGAAACAAACAATATTACTGGTCAAATCATTTACGTAAATATATGTGTGCTACTTTCTAAGTTCTAAAATATCTGAAATGTCTTAAAGAACATTGTAATTATTAAGAACATCAACAGAAAATAAAAATCTATCTTTGAGTTTGATATTTGGCAACCCTAAAACAAATGAAATTTTAGTGTCTGTTTAAAAACTTCAAGTTGCTTGCCTCACTATTTCCTACTGTGTAGATGAGAGAAAATGTGGCTATAAGGTGTCATGTAGGCACGTGCTTTATTCTTTATGCCTCAAAAGTTAGGGCTGGCCAATCAAGGATATACTTTAGATGAAACTCACCTTGGTGGAAAAAGAAAAGAGAAGAACTTTATCTCTGTTTTTCCTGCAATGATTTAAAAGCTGCTGAAGGACCTGAAAACGAACCACAGAAAATCAGTGAACCAGTTTCAACTAAAAGTACACTTTATACATACAAACATCACTTGAGCATTTCTTTAAAATTATTTTCATACAATACTAACCTCAATCATCTTTTCTAATTCCTTTCATTTTTTCCAAGTTAGAGAAATAAAGTATTAGCTATTACATCAAATGTTATTCATCATCATATTGTCAATAAGGAGGTAAAGTTCCCAAAGACTTTTATTTCATCTCATCTGGTTTTAATAAAAAGGAAGCATTTTACATTATGGGATGCATTTAAATGGATTAATTTAATTTCTAAAATACACTTTCTTTATACCTACAATATGTTAAGAAACTAAATTATAGAGCAGCATTCCTTTTAGGAAGTATTTAAATTGTCCCTAGATGGATGTAATGAAATGTGTTCAATTACATCTAGGTTCTAAAAGTCTTGATATTTATTTTCTTAGAATAATCAGTCAGATATACACCTCTTCTCATTTTCTCCCCTTTGTTTCTCTGTTTACAGTAAGCTCTGACTTCCAGATTTGATTTTGACCTCAAAATGCCAGTAATCTGCCCCCACACACAGTGCTTTTAAGGAGGAAGCAAACAGTTCAAAGCCTTGTGTATAACAGTCACACTGTTATTTTTATTTCCACATCTGGCAATGACAACTCCAGAACAATGTGCAAAAGCAATCCACAGAGGGGAAAAAGAAATTTTCTATACAAAGTCGAAAATTTTTCTGAAAGATGAAACAAACACTAAAACAATTTATTTAATGATAAACATTTAAGCTTTTAAATTAAAAAAAAAATACTCAATATAATTAATCAAGAGAAGCTATTGTGCTAACTTTGACCTCTACCTCCCCCCAGACCCTCAAAATAAGCTATGGAGTTAAAAAAAACTTCTACTCAGATAACCAATCAAATGGTAAATAAAAATGTTATAGATCAGGTAAACATTACTTTAATATTTGGAGAACATACGAAGTTTTATTTGCATTTAGTTTATTTTTTAATAAAACAACTGATTCTATATGAAGTATGTAATTTGAGTTTCACATAAGATTAACTTTTTAAATTGGTAGATAATATTTTTTCTGCTTTACAGAACTGAGTAGAAAATGCACAAAGCTCCTCTTTCCCTACTCCCAACCTCCTCCACACCTTCTCTTATTAATACCTGTATTAATAATATTATTAGAAAATATAACATCAAGTATTATTAGTATTGGTGTGGTATATTTGCAACAACTGATGAGTGAATATTGATACATTATTATTAGCTGAAGTCCACATTTACATTAGGGTTTATTCATTGGGTTACATAGTTCTATGGGTTTTGACAAATATATACTGAGATGTATCTGCCATTACAGTATCGTACAGAATTGTTTCATGGCCCTAAAAATTCCCTGTGCTTCACCTACTCATCCTTTCCTCCCCCAGAACCCATGGCAACCACTGATCTTTTTACTGTCTCCATAATTTTGCCTTTTCATAGTACTATATAGTTGGAATTATACAGTATGTAGCCTATCAGACTGGTTTCTTTCACTCAGCAATATGCATTTAAGGTTCTTCCATGTCTTTTGGTAGCTTGATGGCTCATTTTTTAATTGCTAAATAGTACTCCACAGTATGGCTGTCACAGCTTTTTAAATCCATTGACCTGCTGAAGGACATCTTAGTTGCTTCCAAGCTTCGGCAATTATGAATAAACTCATGTGAGGTTCTTGTCTGGATATAAGTTTTTAACTCATTAAAACTCAATGAATTCATTTGAACTCATTTGGGTAAACACCAAGGGGCATAACTGCTGGATCGTATGGTAAGAGTATTTAAGGTAAAATTTTTTAGTTAAGAGCTTTGTGAGAAACCACTGAACTGTCTTCCAAAGTGACTGTATCGTTTTTCCATTCCCACCAGCAGCAGATGGGAGTTCTTGTTACTCCACATCCTCACCAGCATTTGGGCGTGACAACGTTCTGGATTTTGGCCGTTCTAATAGGTATCTAGTGGTATCTCACTGCTGTTTTAATGTGCAATTCTTTAATGACATACGTTGTTGAGCCTCTTTTCATATGCTTATTTGCCATCTCTGTTATCTTCTCTGCGGAAGTACCTGTTCAGATCCTTTGCTCATTTTTAAACTGGATTGCTTGCTTTCCTATTGCTGAGTTTTAAGAGTTATTTGTATATTTGTAAACCACTCCTTTATTGTTCTGCTAAATATTTTCTCCCAGTCTGTGGTTTTTCATTCTCCTTAAGATATTAACATTTTAAATCAAGGATATATTGTATAGAAATCCATTCTTATTGTTTGGGGTGGTATCATAACTATTGCAACTTTAAGTGTTTTCAAATATTTTAAAGTAAAAACAAGTCAGAGGAAAAGTAAATGTTTTTAGACTTGAGGTCTTAATTAGGCTAGTTTAAAGAGACTAACTAAATGAACGACTATAAATTAAGATCCCAGAAATTTCCACAATGACAATGTAATCAACAGATGTTGGAGTCTTAACAATATAGACCCAATGTTTTATCACTCAGCTGTCCTCCACAGAACAAGACAATCCACCTATAAAGGAATCATATATTTGTGGGTGTTAACAGCAAAGAACCTTGGATCTTAACTTTCCTCAACTTGGTCAGTCAGGCCTAGAAAGATGAACATGACCCTTGTGTGACTTCAGCAGCACCAAGCTGGATTCCTAGTCTTTATTCCCACCCTCCACAGTAAGTGGCTCTGCAGCATTTCTTAAGAGAAAGAAAAGTGAAGATTTTCATCAGGTGAATGATTGCAACTTGTGACTAACCCCTTGAATGATAGCTGAGGTCAAAACTCTGACACTCAAGAGAAACAGCTGGGGTCATGAGTGTAGCTTTGAGGCTATGAAGATTATAGCAGGCATTCTGTTCAGAGTCCTTGCACCTGCAGGCTGACCTATGACAAGCCAAGCCAAACAAAGATCTTTTATCACCTGAAATCCAAAAGTACATGCAACTCAAATCTTGGAGTTCTTAAACCAACAGGCAATGATTCTATGATCAGCCTGTAAGTTTTACATTACCAAATCAATATATGAGCAGATGATGCTGTTAGTCAAATGATTTAACACAGTACTAAAAATATATCCCTAGCTTATTACTATCCATCTGTTTGGTGGACGCTCTCTCACAAAGCAAGTAAATTACCCGCCTCATTCACCTGTAAAAATACTACCAAGTCTCCGGCAACAATTTATGCTTGCCTTTTCCCTCCTAAAAATTAAAATAAAATTAAATCTAATCATTATCTTAACCAGACACTATTATTCCTAGGGAGATTAACTTTAAAAGTGTATTTTACAAGTATATATTTAATGAATATATAAAAAATATAAAATGCAGAGTTATAAAACTTTAATTTCCAGACTGGTAATTTTTTAGTGAAGAGTCACAGGGAATAAAATTTAAATGAGTAGCAATAATGGCTAATGCAGTTTTCAGAGGAGGCCATAATTTCTGGAAATATCCTATTGGCTTAAACTGTGGGACAGTAAGTGCTCAGTTCTAAACCAGACTTTTTATATATTTTAATTTAAAAATAATTAAAGTCAAAGAGATGGATGACAAAAATTGACTTGCTACCTTAGGAAATATCATTAGATTTGAATTATTTGTTGTGATAATAAATCACATGATATCCTCATTAATAAAAACATTCATTTTTTAAAAAGTTTTTAATGCAACAGTCTTTATGTACATATGTATATTCCTACCTTCTATTTTATTTCATTGATTTTAGAGGTCCCAAGCAAACTAAACCATGATGAACTTATCTCGATTAATTGCTAAAAGTATTTTTACAATTAAAAAAACCAAAAACTACTTTGAATTACTTCCTTTCTATTCCTTTTATGTCAAAAGAAAGAATTTACCTTTTAAAAATTATAACAAAGTTGAGTTTTGTTCTGTAAAAATCTGTGAATCTACAAATAAAGATTATTGATGGTTATTAAGGGGTTAAACAAACTAACTCTGTTGTTGCAAGGAAGCAGGAAGCTGTCAGCATTTCATGCTGCTGCCACAGGCAATGCCCAAGGCCTGGGTCAAGGTTGGAGAACTTAGCCTTACTTCTCCCATCCCTCCCTCAGTAACACATTACCAAGAGCAGCACAGCTACAGGTCAATTTTCCCGGGTATGACAAATGACTATTTGCAACTTTACAATCTAGGTGTGCAAATAAAAACAACATGCGGAAAATTCTAGACATACAGACCTTGCCCATCTTGAACTCTTCGAGAAATTCCTTTCTCTAATTCCAAGCTAATGCCTGTCCTCACCCCCGTTTAGCATTAGGTTTTATATTTCTGGCAGGTTATTTCCTTAAACATTTGAAGACAAGCTATTATATACGTGATAACAGCACACGCATTTTAAGAGGGCATAAGTCCAATATATCAATAAGGAAAATCTGAAGTATATTTGAAGCAACTACTACAAAGGACCTACCGAGTACACGTATCTGCATTCGGGGTTCACAGTGACCTAGTAAATGCTGATATAACTGCACCACTTGTCGATAGCCACTATCTCTTCTTGAATGACTGAGCACCTGTTTCGATTAGTTGGTGTCTCTGTCATACCACTGAGTAAATATTTGGCGTACCATGTCTGTATGCAACTTGAAAGAGGAGCACTTACCTTCATTTTTCCACTGTATTTAGGGTCAGAAAGTGTTTCAAAGGCTGCATCTTTGCTTTTCTGCACAAAATCTGGGAATCTGGAAAATACCTGATCACATATCCTTTTGATAAGTGTTTCCTTGAAGGGAAAAGGCAGAAGAAAAGATATTTCCACTTAACACATTCAAACCTGTATGAATTGAAATAATTTATGAAAAAAAATTCTTCTTAGAAAGAATATACTACTTTGAAGATTTTTGCTTCCCTAAGTCAGACTAAGAATTCAAAAACTCTTAAAGTAATATGTTAAGCACACATGGCGTTGAATTCTTAATGATGTGGTTATTAACTTGATCATTACTTTTCAAAGATTTTTTAAGATTTCCAAAACAAGGTGCTAAATACTCCCAAAAAGAGTGAAGAGTATTATCAAAGAACAATATCAAATTCTTACGACATTTCAAAATTACATTTAAATGGCATCAACTATAACATAGAAAAAAATATAAAATCATTACAAAAACATCTTTTCATTTGTGTGCTCTAGAATAAAAGGAAACAACCACAGTAAATGATTGAGTTTAAACCTAAACTTTGAAATTACCAACTTCTGCCAGTTTGGTAAACAGCCCTAATATTTAATATACAAATTACTATAAATCCTCATTTTACCCAGTAGATTAAATACCATTACAGACATTATTAGAGGAATAGAACTGACTCATCAAATATGTTATTTAGTAATTATACCTAAGAATGTTCTGAAAAATAAAGACATGAACATTATTAAAGGCATAAAAAAAGTTCTTATTTTAAATTAAGCTTAAATTTGTTTACTTTGATTAAAAACTTAAGTGCACATACTCCTTGATATTGACACTTAAAAATGAGCAAATGAGTTTCCTCCTAAATTTCATCCACAAAAACATTATTTAATAACTATTTTAAAACTTTATGAAATATTTACAACTATAGCATCACAAAGAAATGTAAAATGTCAACCAAACCTGTTGTTTGGAAGTACTAGCAGCTTGCAGTAGCGCGACATGGTTAGCTACCTTCTGAAGGACTGTAAGGTAACTGAGATACAAGGTTTTCACTGTTTCACCATGAGAATTGGTCTGTAACCAGAAAAATATAGAAAATAAAAAGGACCAACATAGCTATGCACCTGCTTACATCATAAGATATATCACATACAACAATATTTATTATCTGGTTACTTCGGCACAATGAATTTCAAGAAAATGATGGTCAACTACTGCACAAAATATCCACAAATCACTAATGTGGACTCATACTTTTGGTAAATCATAATACAATGATATTTTTCGTAAAGGGAGAAAATCCTTATTACAGAAAGTATCCTCATGACACACAGTGATGGAAATGCTGCCATTAGGAGGTGCCTGGTAATGAAATCTACAGTGCAGTGGCAGTGCTATGTGGACCCCGTCTCATTTATGCTCCAACGCTCCTAGGAAACTGGGCTGTTACAAAAAAGGGAAGTAGTTGAAAACAGCAAAATATTAAACGAGACCAAATAAATATCAAACTAGATAAATATTCACTTAGGGTTCCTCTATGTACACAGATATGTGACAGAGAATTTAATAAAACAGAGGTGAAACATGAGCAGGAAATATAGACAGAAGGTTAAAAAAAGTACAAATAAATTTTGTTTCTTAAAAAAAAACACTTTCTTTGATATACAGTTTCTATTAAATTGACACCACATCTAACATCAGAATAGTATTTTAAGCCTGCTATATAATAGTATGTTCGTTTACTATTAGTGGATGGGAAACTTCTCGAAAATGAAATGAAATTTCAAAACGAAAGGATACTTCCCAAAAAAAGCTAAAATGGAGGATATCAAAATTAAGCTTACTTTCTGAAATTAATTTTTTGAAAATATATTTGAATACTGTATTTTATATGTGATTGCTATTTGATATTGTAAAATATTTTTGAAAACTATTTTTTTAAGATACAGCTTTAAAGAACTATCTGAGGAAAAGGTATTTTATTATCTGCTACTTTCTTTTACACTAGAACAGAGTACTATGTAATCAAAAGCATGATTATAAAGATATATTGAAATGCTTGCCTTATAACAACAATTTCTCCTTTTTCGGCCACTCCTACAGGTACAAGGCTCAGAAGACTGAAGTATCAAAGTCACATCCTCTGTTTCTAACACTGTTTGATAGACAGCTTTCTGGAAATCTGTCAAAGAACAATACACCATCTGCCAAGATAAAATACAAGGTGGTTATTAGTATTTTATTTATAGCAATAATAAAAATCATAATCTACATCTATTTCACAGATTCTAACAGTGAAAACTGGCCAGTGCAGAGGCTCACGCCTGTAATCCCAACACTTTGGGAAGCTGAGGAGGGTGGATCATAAGGTCAAGAGATAGAGACCATCCTGGCCAACATGGTGAAACCCCGTCTCTACTAAAAGTACAAAAATTAGCTGGGCGTGGTGCCACACACCTATAGTCCCAGCTACTTGGGAGGCTGAGGCAGGAGAATCGCTTGAACCCAGGAGGCAGAGGTTGCAGTGAGCTGAGATCACTCCACCGCACTCCAGCCTGGGTGACAGAGCAAGACACTGTCTCAAAAAAAAAAAAAAAAGTGAAATTTGCTATAAACTAACTTTTTCCCTCTACATCATTATGATGATTTCTCCCGATTCTCTTATATTGTTTGCTCTCCACCCCACCCTGGATAATATAAAGTATAATTTCATTTTCAAATAAACCTCATAGAATTATTTTAATTAAAAGAAATCATAATGTGAACAAATGATGTCCCTTACACAGTTGACTCTTGCACATGGATGTTGCTAGGGTGCTAACTCCTCACACAGTTAAAAGTCCATGTATAACTTCTGACTCCCCAAAAACATAACTACTGATAGCCTACTGTTGACCGGAAGCCTTAACAACAGCATAAATAGTTGAAAAACACTACTTTGTATTATCTATTATATGTTATATTCTTACAATAAAACCAGAAAAAAAGAAAATGTTATAAAGAAAATGTTATTAAGTAAATCATAAAAAAGCGAAAATATCTTCACTGTTCATTAAGTGGAAGCAGGTCGTCATAAAGGGCTTCATGTTGAGCAAGCTGAGGAGAACAAGGAAGAGGAGAGGCTGGTCTTGTTTTCTCATGGGTGGCAGAAATGAAGAGGTGAAGGAAGTGAAAAGGAAGTCAAGGGAGGCAGGAGAGGCAGGTACACAATGTTACAGAAACATGTAATTTCTGTCTGACATTTTTGCTTTTCATTGCTCTAAAAAATGTTTCTATACGGTGCCAATCCTTCTTCCACCATTTGCTTTAGTTTCAGTGCCCATATCACAGAAGGGTCCATGTCATAAAAGAAGTCAAAAGCAGTCTCAAATAATCAGAACCCCTCTGCCATATTATTTAGTGTCAGTGTTTTCCGGCACTGCTTTTTCTACATCTTCTTCCTCATCGTCTGGCACTGGTTTGAAAGCACGTATTTGCATCAAGTCATCTTCAATTCCTCTGGTGTGGTATCCTGAATTTCTTTCAATTAGCTCTCGAATTTCTCCAAGATCCGTCGCTTGAAATGCTTCACCTTTTTTGCCTCTCATGATTTATTTGATTGGCTCTGTCGTAAATCCTGTCAGGTCATGCACAACATCTGGACACAGTTTTCTCCAGCAGGAATTTACTATTCCAGGAATGACGGCTTTCACGGCTTTTTCTATAAGAACGATGGTATCTTCAAATGGTGTAATCGTTCCAGACGCTCATGATGTTCTATCAGGGTTCTCCTCCATAGCACTGACAATCCTTTCCATAGAGGACCAGGTGTAATGAGCCTTGAAGGTCCTTACGACCCTCTCATCTAGAAGCTGAATTAGACATGTTGTGTTTGGGGGGCAAGGGGACCACCTTGACGCCTTCGGCATGGGGTTCTGGGTGGCCACAAGGATTATCCAGTATCAACAGAACTTTAAAAGGTAGTCCTTTGCTGGCAAGGCACTTCCTGACTTCAGGGACAAAGCATTTTTTATATTTGTAAAATATAAATAGATAAATATTTGCAAATATTTATATGCTTATATCACTACAACAGATTATTGGTAATAAATAGGCAAAGGTGCATACAAGCAAATACAGTAATGTCTATATAAAAAATGCTAGTTTTTTTTTTTTTCCGAAATGCCTTGTTTGTTCTGTAAACAGGCTCAGAAATATAGACACAGGCCAGTCGTTGTGGCTCACACCTGTAACCCAAGCACTTTGGGAGGCAGGCAGATCACGAGGTCAGGAGTTCAAGACCAGCCTGGTCAATACAGTGAAACCCTGTCTCTACTACAAATACAAAAATTAACCGGGCATGGTGGTGCACACCTGTAGTCCCAGCTCCTCGGGAGGCTGAGGCAGAATAATCGCTTGAACCCAGGGAAGTGGAGCTTGCAGTGAGCCAGTATCACGCCACTGCACTCCAGCCTGGGTGACAGAGTGAGACTCTGTCTTAAAAAAAAAAAAAAAAAGACACAATTTGTAGGTTGAGAAATCTCTATGGAGTTGTTACTTCACAACTATACTTCACAAAAGCAGGAATGACGATGGCTTGTGAGCATATTAACCTACCATTTTTCTGTTTTTAAAAAACACAATGAGAATGGCTTATTTCTCTAACTGATGGTCACATTTTTCTGCCCTAGTCTTTAAGAACAAGTGGAGCCCTCACTTGAGCCACCACCTCTTTGGCTCTTAGGCCTCAACAATCCCAAGAGTAGACACGAAGGCAGTCCTAAGCCCCCCCGACTTGTAAAACTCAGGCCGTCCTTTTCCACACGATTCTCAGAGTAACTGTAATGACTTCCATTCATCATTTTGTCTTTAGCAAGTAGGTATGTTTTAACTTTACTTCCAAAACCTATTTCATGAGCCAACAGACCTGCAGGACCCGCACAGATGGTAGCTATGAGGCCCTTCTCGTTTCTTGTTCCTTCAGTATCTCTCTCAAGGCAGCAGACTCAAATAAACTGCACTCAGATTATGTCCTGTTAGAAATATCATGTCATTTGGTCCCTCTTTTTTGTATCTTCAAGACTGACATCAGGACAAATAACAACATCACGGCTACACTGTAGTGGGTCTTTTCCAGCCAGACCTGCATGGTGACCTTAATCTCAGCTTGTCTCATCATGTCTACAGGGCTGACTGTCTCCATTTCCTCTGCTCCTTTAGCCAGGATGACCAGAACTCTTTTGGAAGCTATTTTTATCTTTTATTTTTTAAAGACTCAAACCAGACTGAAGAAGGATGCACGGCAGCACACATCCGGCCTGCCCCCTCCCAATGCTAGATTTTAAAAAAATGTTTATGTAAAATATTTAGTACACCTTGACCCCAACCTTAAATACAAAAGTACACATAAGAAAAAAAGAGAATATAGAAGATGGTGGTCAACGACGGAAGCACGAAGGTATCTTGAGCTATTTATCATTATTAATATTTCTTATGTGTCACGCATTTCAGAGCAACCACGTGAGGCGGGCGCTATTATCATCACTACCATTTAACAGAGGAAAAAACCCAGATTCCAGGGCCTCACAAATTGCTCCAAGTCACAAAACTCTAAGCAGAGAAGCTCCAAGTCACAAATACTCTAATCAAATAGTATTTGATTTCAGAGTCCAAGCTCTAAATCTCTATGCATAATTCTCTTCTTGTACTTTTGTATTGTTCCTACTAGATGGATAGCTAAATCACATATACGAAGTTGCATAAAACATTTTTAAAAGTGAGAGTTCATGAAGTATCTCAATTTAATAACAATATTTGCTTTAGATAAATATCAAAAGTCAGATGTATCTATTTCCCCAACTTGCATATCAATATCATATTTTCCTTTCAAATCTATTTTTTTAAAGAAACAATCAAGAGGATATACTAAAATTAGAGGGCATTTCATAGGACTGCCCTTATTTGGGACAACATTAATTAGGTTTAGTTCCATAGTAATTTATAGAACCTTTACTTCATTGCCCAAGCTAGAAGAAACACAAGATTAAGAACTATAAAAGAAGACTACTACATTTTAACAAAATCCTTTTGAAGTCCACTCCTCATATTTTCTTAACAATTTAACAATGTAGTTTTCCTACAAATTCTAAAAGTTAGGTTAGTTGTGTAACTGCAAATAGCATTCTACAAGAAACAAACCTATGTATTTTTTACAAAGTTCTTAACCACTTTGGTTCTACAGCTATAATTAAGGTACCAAAGAATACACTGTGTGGTGGACAGTACACAGTATAGGAAGGACAAAGTGTGAACAGAAAACACATTGGAGAGAGAAGCTCTTCCTTCTTTACTGGGGAAAAACTGCATCAAAAGTTTTGATGAGGCCAGACATGGTGGCTCCCTCCTGTAATCCCAGGACTTTGGGAGACCGAGGTAAGTGGATCACCTGAGGTCAGGAGTTCGAAACCAGCCTAGACAACATGGTGAAACCCTGTCTCTACTAAAAATACAAAAAAATTAGCCAGGCGTGGTGGTGCACGTCTGTAATCCCAGTTAGTCGGGAGGCTGAGGCTGGAGAATTGCTTGAACTCGGGAGCGGGAGGTTGCAGTGAGCCGAGATCGTGCCACTGCTCTCCAGCCTGGGTGATAGAGCCAGACTCTGTATCAAAAAAGCAAAAAAAGTTTTGATGAGAAATGAGTTTAATGTATACTAATAATAAACCTGTTAACAGGTTAATAAAGTCAGTAAGGAAAACAACTGAGCTCAATCAATGGTTTCTGAAATTCTGCGCCTAACAATTTTTTTCCATACAGAATAAAAGGCAAAAAACTGCATTTACAAAATACCACAGGAGACAGACTTTTTCTTAAAAAGTAAAAAAAAATATGACCACAAATTAATAATATACACAAATATACACAAATGCAGTTCTTACCCGGTCTTCCTTCTTAGGCAACTGATCCTTGATAAGAGCCTTGGTGCGCCTGAGAAACCAGCCGGACATCCTTCTGGCAAGTCTCTGCATGGCCTTTCGGCCAGTGGCCAGTTCTCTCTTTGTGGCCGTGTGTCTCTGACCATGTTCCACTGGGTCAGAAAACTGCTTCTTGAAGCAGGTCCCAGTCCCTAAAAGGCCTGGCACAGCCCTTTATAAAGACAGTAAGAAAAATGTAAGGGCTTTATTATCTAAAAAGAAAACACTAACTTCTTGCATCTAAGAGATATACCACATTACTTGATTATCAATGGTAACAAAAACAAAAGCCAAGAAAACAGAATGTTCTTTCTTTACAATGGTTTCAGGTTATAACTATGAGGATGAAACTGGCAGTTAACATGTATATTTACTTCAGGGACCAAGAGTAACATATATATAAAGATAGGTTTTCATGGGACTCTCTACTCTGTATAACACATCAGGGATCAAACACATCTAAAAACAGAAAAACGACTGTTTTGTTTGGAAACTAATGATTAGCAAACAAGATAGTATTCAGCTGAAGAACTATGAAACAATTTTTTAAAAAGTGTTTTCCCTCACCAGTCCATAACACACCACAGTTCCTTCATGTTGTTCTGAAGAATGGTTCCAGTGAGACCAATGCGGACATTACATTTCAAAGCTTTCATAACTTCTGTTATTCTAGCTTTTGGATTCTTGATTCTATGAGCTTCATCCACAATGACAGCTGACCATTCCAAACTATAAAGTAAGAAAAAAGAAGGGTGAGGCTGAGAAAACTTCCTTTCTTAGTCCACAGCATTTTTAGAGAGTAGCTTTCTCTATCAAAGTTTTGGATTTTTTCCTTTTTACTCTTTGATGACTCCATTGGATTCTCACCCACTTAGTTAAATGGTCACAGCCTTGGGCAGTCCACAAAAATAAAATGCAGAAAAGGTACAGCAGAAAAGGTACAGACATTCTTTAATGATGGTAAAAAGAAAAATTTCATTTAAACATCACTGAAGTAACAATAAAGGAATTTTTTAAAGTTGCAAACCAGAAAAACAAGTAAAACTTGCAATGTTTTATTGTAATATTTTTCTGAATGAAAAATATCAATATAAACTCATGATTTTAAAAAGCTGTATTACATAGCCCTGTCCACTAAGAAAGGTTAGAAGTGATTGTTACCCCAGTAGCAATGAGCACCCATAGTGGTCTCTTCACTAAAAGGAACGAGAGTCTTGCGGAAAAATGGAGACAGCTGATTTCAGGCATACGTTGGGGGACGCACTGAACAGCCGAAAAGCACAGATGTATCCAAAGACAAACGCGAATATATCCAAAGAACAGAGACGCCAGCCTAATTGGAATATTTGAGCATTGTTAAGAATATTGACTACAATTGAAAATAAAATATTGAATAAACAAAAATCCAGGAGTTCTATGAAAAAATGAATTTAGACACTTCACAACACACACGAAAATTAACTAAAAACAGATCACAGACCTAAATATGAACTAAAACTTTTTAAAAAATGGGAAAAAAAATTGTGACTCTGGATTAGGCACATACTTCTTAGATATGACACAAAACTTATAGTGAATTAAAAATAGAGTGGTAAGTTGGACTTCATCAAAGTTAAAAACTTTTGCTCTTCCAATGACACCATTAAGAAAATAAAAAGACATGCTACAGACTCGGCAAAAATATTTGCAAATCATAATCTGATAAAGGACTTGTATACAGAATATATAAAGAATTATTACAACTCGGCCAGGCACAGTGGCTCATGCCTGTAATCCCAGCACTTTGGGAGGCCGAGGCAGGTGGATTATGAGGTCAGAAGATCGAGACCATCCTGGCCAACATGGTGAAACCCCATCTCTACTAAAAATACAAAAATTAGCTGGGTGTGGTGGCAGGTGCCTGTAATCCCAGCTATTCAGAAGGCTGAGGCAGGAGAATCGCTTGAACTAGGGAGTCAGAGGTTGTAGTGAGCCGAGACTGCGCCACTGCACTCCAGCCTGGTGACACAGCAAGACTGTCTCAAAAAAAAAAAAAAAAATTACTATAACTCAAGAAAATTTTAAACAACCCAATTAAAACATGAGCAAAAGATTCTAATAGACACCAAATGTCTATTTGAAGATATACAGATGGCAAATAAGCACATTAAAAAATTCTCAACATCGTTAGTTATTAGAGAACTGCAAATTAAAACATGAAATATCACAATGCACCCACTAGAATGGCTATGATAAAAATGATTAACAGTATCAGGTGTTGCTAAGGATGTGGAGAAACTAGAATCCTCATACACTGCTTTTGGGAAAGCACAGCGACTGTTCTAAAACAGTTGGCAGTTTACTAAAAAGGTAAACATATACTTAGCATAAGAACTCACAATTCCATTCCTAGGTATCTACCCAAGAAAAATGAAAACTTAGGCAAAGACTTGTATGTGAATGTTCACAGCAGCAAATCTGTATAGCCATAAACTGGAAACAGTTAAATGTCCATCACCTGGTGAATGGACAAAACACAGGATAGCCGTATAATAGTACCATTCAGCAACAAAAAGGAACAACTACTGAAATGTATCACAATACGTGGTACATTTGTTAAGTGAAAGAAGCCAGACACCAAAGACTTTATATTGAATGGCTCCATTTATATGAAATGTCCAGTTAAGGCAAAACCTATGGAAAGAGAAAGCAGATGAGTAGCTGCCAGAGACTGGAGATGCGAGCAGGGACTGACCATAGACAAATAACTTTCTGAGGTGATAGAAATGTTCAAAAACTAGATCGTGGTCATAGCACAACTGTTAAAATTTACTAAACATCATTCTAACTTACAAGAGTACATTTTATGTCAAGTATACTTCAATAATCCACCCAATCTGGGTCCACAGCAGAAGGAAGGTAGGAAGGAAGGAGGGAGGGAGGGAGGGAGGGAGGGAAGGAAGGAAGGAAAGAAGGGGGGAAGGGAGGAAGGGAGGCAGGCAGGGAGGCAGGAAGGAAGGAGAAAGAAAGAAAGAAAGAAAAAGAGAAAGAAAGAGAAAAAAGAAACAGAAAGAAAGAAAAAGAAAAGAGAAAAGAAAGAAAGAAGAAGGAAGGAAGGAAGGAAGGAAGGAAGGAAGGAAGGAAGGAAGGAGAGAAAGAAGGAAGGAAAGGAGAGAAAGCGAGTGAAGGCGGTGAGAAACTTTGCCACCAGTACAGATGACTATTATGCTAACTTCTTACTCCAAAAATTGGTCATTAAGGCAAAAGTATCAAACATTCATCTTGCTTTTTTAAAGTCAAAATTGTGGTTAATTCCTGATTAATAGAGAAAGCTTTCCTTTACAGGAGAATACTATTAATGTGTAGAAAAGAAATAATAAAATTAGAAAAATATTATTTTGCCAAACCTAATAAAGTACCTGATTCAGACAAGAATAATTTGTGTGTGCTGATACTACTAAGTAAAAGGATTGAGGGATACCAGAATATTTAAATGGTGGCAAAGTATCACTCCACAGATTATCTGATCATTATAAAGCAAGAAACGTATCTTGACAATGGAGAGATCTGATGATGGTAACCTCCTAAACCTGTGCGACAGACTTGGCATCACTGACAGTCAAACAACTTGGCATTAATACTTTCTGAAGTGATGCAATATGAAGTCCACACAGCATCATTTATGAAGCATTCTTGCCAAAAATGTTTAATGTGAATCTGTTTAAGCCTTTGGGCCAAAACCACTTTATTAAGATACAGATGACAGATGAATATATGTTGAGAAAGTAATCAGACAAATCTAGTATGTGAGATATCCTAAAACAACTGGCCTGGTCCCCTCAAAAAGCCATATAATTAAAAAATACAAATTGGAAAAATGATAGAGATTAGAAGAATAAATAGACTTAACCAAACTTTTCATTTGAACCTTTATTGAATCCTGCTTTATAAGCATTAGATATTAAAGATGTTTTGAGAATGACTGAGGAAATTTTAATAGCTATTAATATTCTCGTGTGTGACGATGAGAATGTGGTATGACAGCAAGTATCACTAGTTTTAGGAAATCCATGCTAAAATACTTCAGGATAAGGATGTCATGTTTTATGCAACTTGCTGAAATGACTCATTACCACCACCATACACAAAGACACAGACATAGACACACACACATTTACATACATTAACTTATATTTTGCCAACATTTGAATACACACACACACACACACACACACCCCTGCTGAATCTAGACAGTGAGAATATGGATGGATGTTCGTGTACTGTTATTTTAACTTTTCTATAGCTTTTATCATTTTCTTAATATAAAGCTGAAAAAAGCTAGAAGCCTCAAGAACAAAGAGAGGAGAAAATAGCAAAAATTCGAGAAGCTGAAAAGAACATGGACAAGATGGCTTACAAAAGCAGAGACTACAGTGTCCTACGCCAATAGTGGAAAAAGCCAAGAAGCAATCTAATATTATTTACACATTCTGGAAAAGTTAAGAATTGGTGGCCCCAGATGCCTCTGGAAATTGGAGTCATGTAAATGCTCAACAGTCTGTTGAAGAATCCTCCCACTGCACAAAGTAGATGGGCCAGGTCATCCGAAAGCGGGCAAGAGAAGGGCAAAAATCCTAATTTTCCTTAAGAAGAAATCAACAGATGATGCTGAAAACGAAAGGAAAATGGAAAAGCTGCAGCATAAACATGTTCTTCAGCACGAAGGAAGTAAAGACGATGAAGATCAGTAAGAGCTGAGGTAAAGGTAACTGGGGAACAGTGAACTGCAGGTTTCCCTAGAAGTCTTTTATCATATTTGGCTCTTTAAATCATATACATACTTAACTCTAATAAAAACTGAATGAAGTAAAAAACTATAACAGCGATAAGGAAAATACTAGAGCTCACTCACGTTACAGAGCACGTTCATCCCTCCATGGAGTATCCGTGATAAAAGGACAGAACACTGTCCTCACAAAAACAACTTAACATTCGCTCAGGTAAAATAGTAACTATTTTAAATATTTGCCAAACACAAAATAGAGACATTTGAACAAACAAATACAACTAAATAAATATCAAATCATAAACATTTCTCTAATCTTATAAATATATGATTTATAGTTACATAATTCTACTTCAGAATTCTTATTTAATATTTATAACAATATTTATAATAATCAGAAAAAACAGTCACCTAACAATCATTTATTTGGCAACTCTTATGTGCTAAAAGTACTGAGATACAGAATTTAAAGATAAAAATCTACACCAAAGAGCTTACAGTCTAAGGGGACAGACAGGTAAGAAATAATTAAAATATGACTGATGCTATGATAGATGAATTTATTACATTTATCGAATTGCAAAACATCTTCTGGGGTGGTATAGTATATTGGTTAAAAACCTAAGGTCTGGCCAGGCATGGTGGCTCCCACCTATAATCCCAGCACTTTGGGAGGCCGAGGTGGGAGGATTGCTTGAGTCCAAAAGTTTGAGATCAACCTGGGAAACACAGGGAGACTCTGTCTCTACAAAAAATAAAAACATTTTCCAGGCATGGTGGCGCATGCCTGTAGTCCTAGTTACTTGGAAGGCTGAGGTGGGAGACTGAGGCTACAGTGAGCGGTGATAGCACTACTGCACTCCAGCCTGGGCAACAGAGCAAGACTCTGTCTCAAAAACAAAACCAAACCAAACCTGAGGTCTGGCGTTAGATGGTCAAGGTTCGATCCTCATGTCTGCCACTGACTTAGCTGTCAAGGCCTAGAAAAATTATTTAACCTCCCCATGCCTCAGATTAGTCTTCTGTCAGGATCCATGAAACTGTAACAGGCTAATTTATTAGCTTACAAGTTTGATTTATAAAATTAAATCCCAGACCTGACAAAAATGGTAGCTCTAAGTTCAACTTTACCAATAATTATATTCAAAGTGAATGGTCTAAATACCCAAATAAAAGGCAAAGATTATCCGAATGGAAGAAAAAGCAAGACTGAACTATAAGAGACTCACCCCATATTAAGAACAGATATACTGCAATAAAAACATGAAAAGCTATTTACATGCAGTAAGCATAAGACTCAGCATAAGACAGCAGCATTATTCATACAGTCAAAATCTGGAAACAATTCAAATGTTAATCAACTGGAGAATGGACAAAATATGGGACAGCTATATGATAGTATCATCGGCAATAAAAAGGAACAGACTACTGAAATGTATCACAATACGGCTATGCTCATATCAGATAAAACATCAAGATAAGAGATATTATTAGAAATAGTTATTTTTTAAAGATAAAAGGATCAATTCATCACAAAAAAATCCATAAATGCATGTGCACCTCATAAAAGAGCTTCAAAATACTAAATTAAACGGTGACAGAAGTGAAAGGAGAAATAAACATATCTACAATTATAACTGAAGATTTCAACTCTCCTCTCTCAGATACTGTAAGCCAACCAAAAAGGAAATCAGCAAAGATAGAAAACACTTGAACAACATCTTAACCAATCTAGTCTTATTGATATTTATAAACACTGCACCTAATAACTGTAGAACAAACATTGTTTTCCAAGTGCACATGGATCAGAAAAATGCAAATTACACTAGAAGATACTACTACGCACCTACTAAAATAACTAAAAGGAAAAGACTGACAATACCAAATGTTGCTGAGAATATGAAACAACTGAGCTCTCACACATTGCTAGCTGGAGTAAAACCACTGTGGAAAATGGTTTGGCAGTTTCTTCTAAAGCTGAACCTACAGTAAACCACATAATACCGAAATTCTACTCCAAGAGAAATGAAAGCATATGTCCAAAAAAGCCTTACACACAAATATCCCTTGAAGTTTTATCTATAATAATCCAAAACTGGAAAAACCCAAAAACCCATCCTCAAATGGATGGGCAACAAAATGTGCATACTGATAAAATGGAATACAATGCAACATGAAGAAAGAACAGTCACTGACACACTCCACAACGTCAACGAACCTCAAAAAACATGCTGAACAAAAGACGCAACACACAGAAAAGGGTGCTTTCTGTGTAATACCACTGACATGCTCCATAACAGCTTAAACTCATCTATAGTGGCAGAAATTAAAATCAGTAGTTGCCCTAGGTGAGAGTTGAGGAAAAGCCACTGTAAAGAGGTAAGAGAAAAGTTCTGGGATGATAAAAATAGTTTTTACCTTGTTTGGGGTAGTGGTTGCACTCCTTTGTCAAAACTAGGAGTCAGTATACTACTACCCATGGCCAAATCCGGCCCGCGGGCACTTCTGTATGCTTAGCAAGCTAAGAGTAGTTTTTACATTTTAAACGGTCATAAAAATAAAAAAGAAGAATATGCAGCTGAGACTATATGTGGCCCAAAAGCCTAAAATATTTACTATCTGGCCCTTTACAGAAACAGTTTACCAATCCCTGGTCAAGATTCATCAAACTGTATACCTGAAATGGCATAATTATTCTACACAAATTAACTCTCATTAAAGTTGATTTTAATACAACTCTCCAGCTGGGCTCGAGGGGCTAGTTTTCACAAAGACTGATTTAATTCATCCTCTGTCATTTTCCACATGAGCCGATTTACCCAAAGCCACAGAGCTAATTAGTAATTTTTTTACTCTTTATTTTGTGCTTATAAAATTTGAAACAAGTACCAACTGTTCTTTTTATCCTGTGCTAAATCATTTTAATGCTGATGTGGAAGTATCACCTTAAAAAAATTACCTAGTTTTCTAAACTTCGGTTGACTTTGGGGGAATATCATTAACTCCTTCGTTAGCAGTAGTTCAAATTGAGTATAACTATAATGTCTAAACATTTTAAAGACTTATTAGATAACTGTTTCTAATGCCACGCTTTCATCTTCACCTAAAAGGTAAAAATTGTATCCCTGTAGAGAGAAATCTAGGCTCTGAGCAGATGGAAATCAATGATTTTAGCAAGGCCCAGCCCGTTGCCGGAACAACGATGAAGAGTTCAGACCTCACTACCATGGTCCTGAGACCAGACTACTATAAAAGCCTTGCATTGGTTTGCTAGGGCTACCAAAATAAAATACTACACACTAGATGGCTTAAAGCAACCAAAATTTATTTCCTCGCAATCCTGGAAGCTCGAATTTCAAGAGCAAGGTGTCAGCAAATTTGGTTTCTCCTGAGGCCTCTCCCCTTGGCTTGCAGATGACTGCCTTCTTACTGGGTCCTCACAAGTCCCTTCCTCTGTGGCATGTGTGTGTCCTTGGTGTCTCTTTCTCTTCCTATAAGGATACCAGTCACACTGGACCCAGGCCCAATCAGCCTCGGTTTTAACTACCTCTTTAAAACTTAAAGTGACCTGTCTCTAAACACAGTTACATTCTGAGGTGCTGGGGTTGAGCCCTGAACATTTAAACTGTGGAAAGCGGTTGAGAAGAAGTGACACAATTCAGACCATAACAAGCCTCTTAATTGGTCTTTCTCCATTCAGCTTGGCTCTCCTCTACCTGCACACACAGCAACTAAGGTATTCACAAAGTGCAAATCTGATCATTTTTATCCTATTGGTAATCTGCTGACAACACTGTAGGGGGCGCTCTATTGCTCTCAAGATAAAGACCAAAATCCTCAAAGTACCTTCCAATACTCTCTATAATCTATTCCCTGCTTATCTCACTGGTGTTACCTTTTGGCCACTTCTCTCTTACACTCTATGCTACAGTGGTTCTGTGTGTGTTTGTGTGTGTGCGTATTTTTTGCCACTCTATATTCACAACAGACTCCCATAATTGAAATAATTCATGAAAATCACTGACCTAGTTCAGAGACAGGGTCTGCATAAAAGGCTATACAAGAGATTTAGGACAAATCTTATCACTCTTTAACAATCATTGTTTGAAGAAGTATCCTGTAATCAATGTCAGAAATAGAGTAAGAAATTCTAGGAAACCTGATGCAGGTTTTTCCTTCTCAGAGAATAAGTTATTATGAATTAATATTTCAACAATTCTAAAATGAAATTAAATCAAGCATAGGAATAATCATTACTTCTTTTTAAAAAATCACAGTATAGGCTGGGCATGGTGGCTCACACCTGTATCCTAGCACTTTGGGAGGCTGAGGTGGGTGGATTGCCTGAGCTCAGGAGTTTCAGACCAGCCTGGGCAATGTGACGAAACTCCGTCTCTACTAAAAACACAAAAGCAAGACTCTGTCTCAAAAAAAAAAAAAAAAAAAAAACTTAATGTAAAGGGATGTAAGCAGAATATTAATACAATCATTCCTATTATTCCCATTACCTGTTAAGTTCATCCAGGCATAAGCGCAGTGTTTCATAAGTTGTTAGAGCAATTTCACATTTCCTCTGCTTTACACGAATTAGTTCATTATCTTTTCTGTTTCCATGTAAAATAGTGACTCTGAAATATCCCCAGGTGTCCAATTCATCCTTCCAGTTGTAGAGGACAGAAAGAGGAGCAACTATTAAGAACATCTAAAAGAAGAATAAAAAAATGTTGTTTTTTAAAAACTGAAAAATAATCCCAAAGTGAAATCAAGAATATCAATAGTCCTCTTCTTTCATTTTGACATCTAGTTAGTAACAATAAATACAACTGAGTGATTACCTATATCTGGACATTGAAGATTCTCAAAAAGTACTTTGCTGTTTAATTAGCTTTTTTCAGGACATAATAGACACCTAATCTTGCTCAAAGAAACACGTGTTTTTTATTTCCCCCTACCAAAAAGGCATTTAGAAATAAGAGAGAAGTAACTTTCCAAAAGAGAGAAAAGAATAAAATCTGGATCCCAATAATAGCTTCAAAGGCCAAGTGGGTAATGTACACACACCAGCAGGCCACGTGTTCTTGAAATATATGGTCTCCTTGAGCTCTCCTTCCTTTTGCATTTTCCTAGTCCATTTCCTCTTCCCCTCTCTCAGATACGCTCAAAGAACTGGAAAATTCACTGGAAAATTGAAGCAATCAGAAGAAAACTTCCTGGATGAACTTCTCTCAGTATCGTATCAATAACCTATCTATATTCATTTCCATACATTTTGCCCTCCCACCTGTTGCCATGGATATGCTGTTCATGTTCTTCTCCAAAAACAACCCCTGAATGTACACAGTGGCTCCCATTCCTTCTTGCCAACCTAGACTCAATGCTGCAGAAAGTGCCCCCAATCTCCCCTACCTGATTAACTTTTCTATTTTAATGAACCATATCACCTATGGACAAGCATGTTCGAATATTTCCCAGAGTTAAAAAAATTCAAAAACCGAAAATTAAAAAAACCCCTTTTCCTTAGCCCAACATCTGTCTCTAGCTATTACCTCATTACTCTACTCACCCTAGAGCAAAGATCCTCAAGACTTATCAATATTTAACTCTCCTCCTGTTCTCTCTTGAAACTCAGGTAAATAGGACTTCTGCCCTAATAATGCCTACCAATCAATCCCTCTGAGGATCACCAACATCTCTCTGGTTATTCTTCACATTCATGTACCTTTCCTGTACTAACCCAGAATCCTCTGTCATCAACCATTTTAACTTTTTAATGTTTTTATTTCTCCCTGTTACCACTATTCCTATCCTGTTATGTTTAAAAGGGTTACCAGTACGATTCTTTTCTAAAGTTTTATACTTGATCTACTTGACAGAGATGAACCAATTAAACATACAGAAAAAATTCAGTTTAACAAAGAAATACTCAAAGTTCTAAAAAAAAAAAAGTCTCATATTTATCGCTACAATCTTAACTCTCTCAAAAATACCCAACATAATTTATACCCTACTGTGTGCATAGCTGATCATTTTTTCCTTCAGTATACAAAGGTTATTTAATATACAGAAATTTCAGTTTAGAATCCACCGTAGTCAGGGGCCCTTCCAAGTCCTTTGTATAAAAACAGCATACGTTTTGATAGAATATCAACTTTTGGCATTAAATAAATTGATTAACTATGTTGGGTATTTTTGAGAGAGTTAAGATTGGAGAGATAAATACAAAAACTTTTTTTTTTTTTAGAACTTTGAGTCTTCTAGCAAAGATTCCAATTTTACGTTCTGTAATTTTTCTGTAAAGGTATAATTTATTTTTCATTTTGATATCACACTTATTCCCATGTAGAACTTTTGTTTCAAGTCTACTGTCACTGTCCTCTGAACATACATTATTATTCCTAACTTAGCATTGACACGTACGGTTTCATGTATTAATTCATTCACCAATTGAACACTTTCTATTTTCTAAGTACTACATGAAGTACTAAAGTTTGGCATTATGCCAAAACTTGATAGTCTATCAAAACAGAAAGTTACAAACCAGATCAATAAATATCAACTCTTGCAATTAAAAAAGAGAAGTAAATAAGAAATATAAGAATGGAAATGACAAGCAAAGTTAACTATAAATTCAACACAATATCAACTAATATATATCAATAGGTTTTGAGGAGAAAGTGGAGAAAATTTATTTTTCATAAGTTGAGAAAACTTGAGGAGAAACTACCAAATAATAACTTATATTATAAAGCTAAAATAACTAAAACTGTTTAGCACTGGAAGAGAAATGAACAAATAATTAGGACAGAATAATATGTCTAGAAATAGAAATGATTTTAATTTTACACAAAAGTGGCCCTTCAAATCACTGTGGAAAAGTGGACTTATTCAACAAATGACATTAAGATAACTGGCTAACCCCCTGAGAAAAATAAAATTGGATTACTAGACACCTACAGCAAAATAAATTCTAGCTGAAACAAAGATATAAAGGTATAAAATGAAATCACACATATTATAAAGAAACCATGAGTGAATGTACTTATAATTTTAGAGTACAACAGGTTTTTCTAGACAAACATAAAACCCAGAAACTATAAAGACCAATACCTGTAACTACCTAAACATTTGTAAAAAATCAATACACAATTCAAAGCTGACTCTACATGACCAAAGAAATATTTTCAAAACATATAATGAGCAAAAAATTAGATTCCAGGATATATCGTTAAGGACTATTAATCAAAGACTATGATTAAAAACAAGAATTAGATTTAAAAATAGCTTTTAAGCATCTGAAATGCTACAGCTTCACTCATAAAGAAATGTAAATCAAAGCAAGATAAAAATTTTAAATCTCCCACAGAGTCATAAATTTATGTTTGCTAATACCTAGTGCAAATAAAAAGGTGGAAACAGGCATTCTTATACACCACTGGTGGGGATAAGGGGTAATTTAACTCCAGTTATCAAAAAGTAATCCCCTAAATCCAGCTCTGCTATCCAATTCCAGCACTAAGAATTTATCCTACAGTTACTGTTGCAAAAGTTGTCAAGATATATGCATAAGGATGCTCATGGGAGCATCATGTGCAACATAATCCTCTTGGTACGTATGAAGAACTAAAAAAATAGTGTATAGTAAATAAAATAATTATAAAATATTTGTGTTAAATTGTCATTGAAATTGTTTCTGATGCTCGTATTATGATTGCTACAAAAATCCTCTTTTGCATTAATTATGAATTTTACTTAGAATCTCTAAAGCTTCATCATGCAAGAAAATATTTTATAATAAATTTACTATGATTCATAAAAACTGAATTTCAATCAAAACTTAGCCTACATCTAAAGAGCCACTCCAAAAATCAATGTTTAAAATGTAGAGCTTGTGTCTTTTCCTTTAAGAATTTATTCTTGGCACAAAACATTCACGCATTCTTAGATGATTTATTCACACTTGAAAAGTTTTTAAATGTATATGAGATGGATCGTATCACACACACATACCTTAGACCCACCACTCCTTAATTTGTAACAGTTCATTAAAGAGCTTTCTTCAACAAGCTTCACCATTAATTTTTCAGAATTCAATTGTAATTGTGGCATTAGCATAACAAATACAAAAGAATTGATTTCTTCTCCATTTCATAAACTGTCTTTTTAAAACATACATTGTTTTAAATGAACCAATACAAATTTATCTTTCAAAACTTTCAAAGTTACAATTTTTGTTTGTATTTACTTCTGGGAAATACTGTAGAATGTCACTGGTGATTCCATTAAAAACTCTAAATTCCAGTTCAAATGACTAACTCAACACATGTTTGTGTTGATGCCAATGAAACAAAAGAACAAACCTAATAAATCCATAATAGTGGTAGAATGCCTGGAAGGGCAGCACCAGCAGGTCAGAACAGTGCAGGAGCAGATGAGAACTGGCACACCTGAAGAACTGAGCAACCCACCCTACACCTCTGAAAGCGAACACTCCCCCTGCCCTCCCCTACTAAAAACTTTACTTTTCCTAGAAGGAACCTAAAAAACAACGATAAGCAAAACAAAACTCAACAAAACAGCTAAGGCAGTTGGAAAGACTGAGTCAAGAAAAAAAATGGCCAAGTAATTTTAAGAAGGAAAAGTTACACCAGTCATCAAAGAAACTGATACTAGCATCAGTATGCAACCTTCCCTGCATAAAGCACTGTATATATTTTTCTAAAGCAAAATTTATTTGGAAGAATTCTACAGTGAGTGTTAGGGCTCATGGAAATTTCCGAATTTCATCAATTAAAAAAGTCCTTAATACTTCCAAACAATTAAAAAAAAAAAATCCTTTCCAAGGAAAAAAGTCAGGTTGATATTGAACTCTAATCTGCAACATGGAGTGACAGAAGATAATAAAATGAGTTTTGTCATTATAAAAGAAAATTTTGAACTTAAAATTCTATAGGTAGATAAGCCTATGGATAATCAAGTGTGAGAGCAACATACAAACACATAAAATTTACCGAAGAATTTTTCTTTTTCTGAGACAGAGTCCCACTCTGTCACCCAAGCGGGAGTGCAGTGGCACAATCATGGCTCACTGCAGCCTCAACCTCCTGAGCTCAAGTGATCCTCCTACCTCAGCCCCCTGAGTAGCTGGGACTACAGGCACCAACCACCACACCTGGCCTCTGAAGAATTAACGGAAGACATTAAGCAAAAGTTGGTATGAACACAAAGAGAAATAAACTGAAAGTCATAACAAGAAAATTTAACATACTTCTTTCCAGATCCAAATGCTCAGACAAAAAGAAAATAACACTATTAAACATTTTAACAATGCAATTAACAAACATGATTAAACAGAAATATATAAAACCATGTGACCATGATTACAAAGAATGCACAACATAAGCAACATTTTAAAACAACAGAGACTACACCATGCACAACACCACAGCATAAAAACTGATCCATGGATGTAATCACAATTAAAAAAATATCAAGGCTGTTATCTGATGCAACAAAACTAGAAATTGTCAAAAAGGGTTCAGCCCTCCTATCATCCTGTGCCCCAACAATAGCTATTCACTTCGAAATTTTAAAACTTCTCTTTTAAATAGTACTTGGGTAAAAGAGAATAAAAATTGGGGCCACAGATAATTTAGAAAAGACTAATGAAAAGACTACATGTTAAAAACTATAGAACACAGCCAAAGGAGTACTGAAAGGAACTTTTTTCTGAGACAGGGTCTTCTCTGTTGCCCAGGCTGCAGTGCAGTGGCATGGTCACGGCTCACTGCAGCCTAGAACTCCCGGGCTCATGAGATTCTCTCACCTCAGCCTCCCCAGTAGCTGAGACCACAGGCACACACTACCACAACTGGCTGTTTTATTTTTTTTCATTTTCTGTAAAGACAGGGTCTCCTTATGGTGCTCAGGCTGGTCTCAAACTCCTGGGCAATCCTCCCGTGTCAGCCTCCCAAAGTGCTGGGATTACAGGTGTGAGTAACCAAGCCTGGCCCAAAGGAACACTTATAGCTTTAAGGTAATTTATTAGAATACAAAAAGACTGAAAATAAATAAAGAAATCAACTGAAGAAGGTAAATAGCTATGTACATTATAGCAAGGAATTTACAGTTGTTCCTCCATATCTGTGGGTTTCTTAACAGTGGATTCAACTAACTACAAACTGAAATACTAAAAAATTCCATCTGCACTAAACATGTACACAGACCTTGTCATTATTTTCTAAACAAAACAATATAAAAGCTATTTATGTAGACTTTACATTGCACTAAGTAAACTGCAGATGATTTAAAGTATATGGGAAGATAATAGGTTATATGTAAATTCACTATTTTATATCAAGGACTTGAGAATCCACACATTTTGGTACCCAAGAGAGGTCCTGGAACCAATCCCACATAAATACCAAGAGACAACTGTATATGTGTATGTGTGTGTGTGTGAGAGAGAGATATGATACACCACATATGCACACACACACACACACATACATATATATATAAAAAGAGGAAGAAAAAGAAAGGCAGGAGAGGAATTTGAGTCAACTGAGGTAACTATTACAAGCATATTTTACCACATTATCAAATGAGTATCTTTGTTAACTTTATTTTCTTTCATTCTTGTTCTTGTTTTGTTTTGTTTTGTTTTTGAGACAGGGGTCTCACTTTATTGCCCTGGCTGGAGTGCAGTGGTGCAAACATGGCTCACCGCAGCCTCAACCTCCCCAGGCTCAGGTGATCCTCCCACTTCAGCCTCTGAAGTACCTGGAACTACTGGCACACACCACCACACCTAGCTAATTTTCTGTATTTTTAGTAGGAAAGATGTTTTGACATGTTGCCCAAGCTGGTCTTTAACTCCTGGGCTCAAGCAATTCGCCTTCCTTGGCCTCCTAAAGTACTGGGATTACAGGCATGAACCACTGTGCCTGGCCCATTCTTGTTCTATATTTTAAATATCTTTAAGTATTTTAATATATTTAAAATATTACTCTTCCCTCTTTTGCTCTCTCTCCTGTCTGCTGTCACAGTGGCATAAAAGAGATATATAAAGGCTCTGTAGTGACATTGAGAACCAGGGAACAACTGAATTCAGAGTTAAAAACAGTACTTGAGCCATTGAATACTTAAAATACATTAAGTACCATTATTATCTTCAGGATCACATTGAATCTGATACTCAGGATGCATTTATGCTATTGAAAAACTAAGAGAATTTAAAACGAGAACAATTATAATATCTGGAGCCAGCAGTTCTGAAAAGTCTGCGTTGAAATGGTCTTTATGATAGACAAGGGTAAACTTGGACTTCTCAGCAATCTTGTATTTAAGACTTGTATGAAAGAGTCTGTTTTAAAACTTACGGTAAGTAGTTTTACCAAATATGATAAAAGATTTCATAAAATCACTTCATTTTTATTCTTATCTGGTTTCCTGGAGGCTGAGGGTAGTATTTTTTAAAAGACATGTAAGTATAATATTTTTTATATTTCATTGCTTATTAGAAATCTTTTTGGTAAGAATCATATATAACGTATTCATAAGCATACATTTATGAAGGAGAAAACTGAAGGATGGATATGAATAGCATTCACAGACATAAGGGCAGAGACAAGTAAGCACAGACCTAGTCTTTCTGATTGCAACTTTCCTGTATTGGTAGAACTTACTTCATATTTTTTGGATGCAATTAGTCAGCTAGACAACTTGAAATAAGTTCATGAAGCACTTTTGTTACCAATATCTATAACTATCACCTTTACATTCTCACAGAAATAAAAAACAATATAATGAAGTTTCAATTAACTTTACATATACATTCACAGAAGTTTAACAAATCAACCTAAGTAAATTATGTAAATCCAGCCAAGCAACAGATTAAAACCCCAAAGCAAACCCAAGCTGAAATTCCGTCTTGCCATTATGATAGTCAATCAAATTTAACTTGGGAATAAAATTGGTAATCTTTCAAAAATTAGAACTATAAAACAAATACTTTAATAACATCTTTAAATTCTTAGGTTTTAAAATTTATACTAATACATTTCAATGTGAGATATTTAAATATTTCTATGTGCTTTTGCAATACCAGCACCATGAGTCGAAAATGTCCAGAGATTTTACCTTTTTTGCTGTAGAAGAAAGGGGCTCCTTTTTCATGCTTCTTAGTAAAAACTCTGGCATGTTATTTTCAATATCCTCACGAGTTCCCTTTTTATGCAAAACTGCAGCCAGAAATGAAATAACCTGGAGAAAAAAGACTTTTTCAATCACTGTGTATAATGTATCATGACGTACAAAATTTCACTGCTTACATGACTATTCAATTAGTGACAAAGTATGTACAAAGAGATTTGTTGGGGGGAAAAATAGAACATGAAATATTAGTACAGATTTTCTTTAATTCTAATAACAAACAGTATCTTTCACACTTGTAAACAAACAAACAAACAAAAATCTCACATTACCCTCTTTTCACGATAACTTCTACCTACCCAATGAATTCTTTCTTAACTCCATCACTTGAGACACTACCTTCTTATTTGTTTCTAACCATGGAAACTATCTCTTCATATCCTCTATTAGAATAAACTGTATACATTCTTGTTTCCATACAGAAAATAAACTCCTTAAGGGGGATAATATTTGGCCCATAAATTTGTACATTTCTATTTATCTAATAAATATACGTGAAAAGGCAAAATGTTATTTTAAGATAGACTAATTCATTAATATATACAACATTTTGAAAAACAGCTCATCTCCAAAAATCAAGTGAGAAAAACAGACAGACAGAAAAAAGGAATCATAACCTAATATAATAGAGAGCAAGAAATACTGAATTGATTAGACTTTGAATCAAATGTTGGCTCTGATTGCTTGGCTGCTCTATGAACTTGGACAAGGTAGTTAACCTCTCTGAATAATATTTGTAAAAATGGCAAAAAATAATTTTGGCAGGGTTGTTTTAAAGATTGGGAAGAAAGGTACATGAGGTATCCATATGGAAGAAAATAACTGATCACTACCTTACAAAAATAAATTATATAAGAAGAAAAACTATATAAAACAAAAAACTATGCGAGAATCAGAAAAATTATAGAAAAAAGTATACTTAACAAGGGTGTGGATACCTAGTCTGAATCCCAAACGACAGAAGAAAATAAGTGATATAGGAGAAGTGTCTGAAGAAATAAAAGCTGAAAACTTAACTGATTTTTTAAAAAATCAAGCCACAGATTCAAAATCTTCTTCTAAGAACCAAAACCAAAACAAAATGAAAACCAAAAACCAACTAACAAAAAACCACAAGCAGGTGCTTCACTGAAACAACTTGAGACAGAAAAATGTTTGTTAAAAGCAGCCAGAAAAAACAACAACAGATCACCTACAAAAAAGCAACAACTGGTCTGGCCACAGTGGCTCACACATGTAATCCCAGCACTTTGGGAGGCCAAGGCGGGCGGATCATTTGAGCCCAGGAATTCGAGACCACCTGGGCAACATGACAAAACCCCATCTCTACAAAAATTACAAAAATTAGCTGGGCACAGGGTGGCTCGTGCTTATATCACTAGCTACTTGGAAAGCTGAAGTAGGAGGATTGCTCGAGCCCAGGAGAATGAGGCTGCAGTGAGCTGTGATGGCACCACTGTACTCCAGCCTGGGCCACACGGCAAGACCCTGTCTCAAAAAAAAAACAAAAACAAAAACAAACAAACAAACAAACAAACAGACAAGTAGCTGACCTTGCAGGAAAAGAATGGAAGGTACTACAGAATATTTTCAAAGTGATAATAAAAGCAACCTATATTTTTATACCTACGGATGATATTCAAGAATGAAGGGTAAAGATTTTCAGACAACCAAAAAGTGAGCCAATTCGTCACCAAAAGAGCCACACTAAAGAAACTATCTAAAGAATGTTTTCAGGTACAAGGAAAATGACTCTACATAGAAGATCGGTGACATAGGGAAAAATTAAGAGCAACAAAATGGTAAATATATACAAAATATATATGTATATTGATTGACATTATGAAACAATAAAAAAGTTTTGTTGAAATCAACAGATTAAAAGCTATGACAACAAATGTATATTAGTCGGAAGGAGCACAAGTGTAGTTATAATATTCTGAGGTCACTATGCTGTAGGGAGGAAATTAAAGTACTAATTTATGTTAGATTATGATAAATCAATGGTATCTATTGTCATCTCTAGGGTAATCATTAATAGAATAAAAGAATGTGTACCTAATAAAAGGGGATAATAAAGTTATAGGAAACAATCTGTCCAAAAGGACACAAAAAAAGTGGGAAAAACGTGACATGGAATAAATAAAAAGCAAACAGTAAAATACTAAGTTTAAATCCAAACATATTAGAAAGCACATTATATAGAAATGACTAAACAGTCTAAACAAAAGATAAAGATTGTCCAAATAAAATATATTTCTTTGCCATTTACAAGAAAACCTTCTAAAAAAAAAAGGGATAAAGTTCTAATTAGAAAATAAAAATGACAGACCATGTAAACAAAAATCAAAGAAAATTGATACAGCTATATTCATATCAGACAAAGATGCTGAGGCAAAAAACCATTATGAAATTAAAGAGGCACACTTTAACTTAATATTGATAATAAAATTAGTTCACTTGGAAATGTTAAGAAGTCTAAATTTATCAATAAAGAAAAACTTACTGAAATAAAAGTAGACAAATCCACAAGCACAATGGTAGATTTTAAAATAACTCAGCAAGAACAAACAAAATAATCAATAAAGATACAGAAGACTTTAATAACGATTGTCAGCCTTGACCTAGTGAACATTTGCTAGAACACTGCACACTACTGCAAAGCAGTTTCAGTTCAAGTATCCACGAAATAGTTACCAAAGTTGACATATGGGGCCCGGTGCAGTGCCTCACACCTGTAATCCCAGCACTTTGGGAGGCCGAGGAGGGCTTATCACCTGAGGTCAGGAGTTCGAAACCAGCCTGGCTAACATGGTGAAACCCCATTTCTACTAAAAATACAAAAAAATAGCTGGGCATGGTGGCGCGTGCCTGTAATCCCAGCTACTTGGAAGGCTGAGGCAGAAGAATCACTTGAACCCAGGCAGAGGTTGCGGTGAGCCAAGATCGTGCCATTGCACTCCAGTTTGGGCAACAAGAGTGAAACTCTGTCTCAACAAAAAAAAGGTTGACGTATGCCAGGCCACTGAAGTCTCAATACATTTCAATAGACAGAAACCATACAGAATATGTTTTTTGATCCCAATACAAGAAACTAGAAATAACAAAAATATAAGCAGAAAATCTCCAAATGTTTGGACAGTAAGGAACAGAGTTCAAAGAACTCACAATATAAATTATAAAATATTTGAATAATGAGTAATAATATGTGTTGAATTTGTAGAATACGGCTAAAGCTGTACCTTAGGGACTTAAATGAATATTACAGACAGTCCCCAACTTATTATGATAGCTCAACTTGCAATTTTTCAATTTACAATGGTGTAAAAGTAATACGCATTCAGTAGAACTGTAAATCAAGTATCCATACAATCACTGTTTTTCACTTTTAGTAAAATATTCAATAAACGATATGAGATTCAACACTTCGGTATGAAATAGGCATTGTGTTAGATGATTTCGCCCAACTACATGCTAATGTTAAGTGTTCTGAGCATATTTAAGGTAGGACAGGCTAAGCTATAGCATATATTTATGGGGATATAACCCCACTGTAAGTCAAGGAGCATCTGTATTAGGAAAGAAGAGGGACTATTAATCAGTTATCAAAGAATCTATCTCAAAAACTGAAGAAAATAACAGAAAATTTAACACAGAAAGCAGAGATTACTAAAAAATACAATGAAAATGATCAACAATGCCAAATGATCATCCTTTGAAAGAATTTTTTAAATAAACTCCTGGCAAAATTGATAAAGATAATAGAGAAGAAAAAAGGCAAACAAAAAATATGTATAACCCATAATAATGCTTTGCCAATAAATGTAAACATTTAGAGGAAATGTAGAAATAGAACTTATCAAAAACCAACACAAGAAAAGGAAATCTACATACTCATAAAACCATGAAATAAACCTGAATATGTAATTATAAACCTTCTACAAAGAAAAGTTTAGGGCCAGATAGTTTCACCAACAAATTCTACCTAACGCTTAAGAAAAATGTAATGCTAATCTATAACAGACCCTTTCAGGGTTTAGAAAAAGGGGAAAATATTCTCACCTCGTTTTGTGAGTCTGGCATAACTTTGATAAGAAAATCTGACAAGAACATTATAATACAGGAAATTTACAAGCCAGTTTCTCTTACTCATATAGAAGCCGAACTCTTAAACAAAATGTTAGGACACAGAACACAGAAATTTAAAAAAGGAAATAATATATACCAAAACCAAACTGGCTATATTCTGCAAATATAAGTTTGGTTTAACCTTTGAAATTTAGGTATTAGGTAGTTATCGGCTAGGTATCTTAGGCATTACACGTAGCATTCCTAACTTAGATTCCTTAAAATGAGAATAGAATGACCTATTACAAGAAACATATTTTACCAGAAGTAGTACATTATTAGGTACACTGCAAAAAGTTGAGAATGTATATTTTATCACTAGAGGAACCATTAAAAATAAAAAGCAAAGAACTATAGATAAAAAGTCAATAGAAAAATTAAAATCAAATTCTAAAAAATATCGTATCAACCCAAAGGCAGGCAGGAAAGAACAGAAAACAGGTTGTTCAAACTGTTCAAATCAGACTGTTTCCGAATGAACAGAAAGCAAATGTTATATCCAAATCCAAACATAAGAATGACATTAAATGTAAATGAACTAAATATTCCAATTAAATATCAGAGATTGTCAGAATGAATAAAAGAGCTGTCTACAAGGGACATTTCATAGTAAAAAAAAAACCAGTCAATTCATAAGGAAGATATAACAACCATAAAGGTTTGTGACCCTGTAACAGAGCTTCGAAAGATATGAAGGTAAAACTGGCAGATTAAAGGAAATAGACAAATCTGGCTGGGTACAGTGGTTCACACGTGGAATCCCAGCACTCTGGGAGGCCTAGGTGGGTGGATCACTTGAGGTCAGGAGTTCAAGCCCAGCCTGGCCAACATGGTGAAACCCTGCTTCTACTAAAAAATACAAAAATTAGTCAGGTGTGGTGGCACATGCCTATAATCCCAGCTACCTGGGAGGCTGAGGCATG